AAACGGCTCCAACGATTTTCATAAAATATTGTGTGCAGGGAGTTTCGGGGGCAATAAATCGATCTAGCTAGGATTTATTTTTAGAAAATGTCTTTTTGTCCGTGTTTTTAGGCAATGAAAAACTGCTACAATATCGTTAGAATAAAAAGGTAAATTTTGACAGTTTATTAATGATTACAAATAGCTTAATTGGTATATTGGGCGGTCACAAAATCGTAATACCATGGTTCGAGCCCAGACCGACCGACTTTTTTTAATTTTTTTTTTCAAGTTCCTTTCTTTTTTTTGAGAAAATCTATTTTTTCGAGCCCTTTTTTTAGTATTTTTAATAACACGACAATTTAAATTATACTAATTGCACTCATGATTTTTTATTCAAATAACCAGTTCAGTTTTTTCTATTATGTCGCTAAGATCAAAAAATATTATTCGTATTTCATCAGTATGTAATTTGTATCCAAATATAATTTCCAAAACACACGAATTAAAAAAACCGAGCAAAACTCGGTCAACCGGGTACTATTATTAAGTGAAGAATAAGAGATAGTAGCCGACCCATTAGAGCTTTAACCATAATATAGCTACAGTGTGGTTCTACCACATATAACTCTTGTTATTATTCAATTGCATTGTTAATTTTTTTTAATTACTAGCAATTGTACGCTCAGCTTTGTTAAAAATGTGTCGTCTCATTTGTTTCTCAGCTTCATGGCAAAACCACGTCAGCTTTTTTCTCTGAACAGCACTCGAACGTGACATACTTTCGATCTTGTAAGTACATCATGTGTGTGGATTTATTGCCTTATCATCGCAAAAAAAAATGGATTGAATTCTTTTTGTCCTATCAGCTACATATTCTAAATCAAAGCAATCAAATTGGGTATACATATGAATCAAATCTCTTACAAGTAAGATTATCGAATGGAAACTTCGTACCGATAAGCGAAATGTAGAGGAGGCACCACTAGATGGCTCAGGTAAGAGATTTAGAAAGTCAAATTCGTGCTTTTTGACATTCCTCGGGGAAGGCTTATGTTTAGCAGTGGACTTGTGGGGGACTGTAATGTATGGATGGATGGGAAAACTGTATAAAATGGTTCATACAATATTGAGGAATAATATACTTGCCACACTAAACACAACATACATAAAACAACATACATAACACTGGTATTTTGTACGAGCGTGATTCTTTCCCGGTCAAGCTGATTAGTTCATACAGCGACTATAAGTTGTTGCAGCATGAATTTACCACATATATTATTCTTATTGTTTATGATTGTTCTCTCTATTACACAACACAATACCAAAACCAGTGATAAAGTGATAGCACATTACAGAGTCGACAGAATAAAATCTCACGTGGAAAAAGACGCGGGCACAATTAGTTAGTTAATTAGCCAATTAGTACTTTACAAAAGGTTTTCTTACTTCTTTATTACTAGTTTTTACAGATTTTATCGCGTATATTTAATTTTTTAAATCCCCGACGTTTTGAGCACTGTCACGGGTGGGGGGGGGGGGGGCTGAGATGTTCAACGTCCAGATGTCATAATTAACCGCGGTTACCATAGATTAAAATTATTAACTTTTGTTCCGATCTACGCGAGTATGAACTTATGGTATCTTGCAGTCTTGCAGTTGTATTGTTGAGTTGGGATATAATTTTATTAACTATAGGATCCCAAGCAGATGGTAGCACCCAGCCATCTTCTCTATTGAAATTGGGATGTTTCTTGATTTCAATAGCCTCCCGAATCATTTTTGGAAGGAATCGATATTCTTTCGCGAGGATTCGTGGTCTATAATAAAATATAATATGATGTAGTGACGCAAGCGATCCTGTATGTGTTTACAGACTGCAGACTTCCCGGAGCGTCGTTTCTTCACATAAGCTATATATTCTTTAACGCGGGTTTTAATAGATATTTTAGTTTGTCGTATGTAGGAGAGATCACATTCACAATCAAGCTTCTACACTCTTGCATCATGCAGAGGGACATTACACTTGACTGATGGTAAAAACTGACCAATCTTTTTCGGTGGCTTGAAGAATGTTTTAATGGAAGCGCGCTTCAAGATGCAGCCAATCTTGTCAGCGACTCCTCTAACATATGGAAGTACAGCAGGTAAGCACTCGACTGTGGCCGGCTTCACTCGTTCACTGTAACATAGGCGCGGGACTCGAAGCTTGTTGTCAGCAAAACTTGCTTGACATGGTGGAGCTCGGCAGCCAGGTGTTTACTGTCACAGATCCCTCGTGCTCTCTGAAACAAAGATTTACCCACGGTAGCTAACTGTGAAGGATGGTGTTGAGAATCACCCTTTAAATATTTATCTGTATGGGTCTTTTTTCTATACACAGTGTGGCTCAAGGTATTATCATTATTCCGAATTACTAACACATCCAGAAAAGCTAAAGAATTGCTTACCTTCAACTCCATTTTAAACTGAATTTTAGAATTTATAGAGTTAAGATGGTCTAAAAATGCAGTTACTTTATCTAAAGGTAGAATTGTGAAAGTGTCGTCTACTTACCGCTTGTAGAACCTTGGATTTACAGGAGTAGTGAGCAGGACTTTATCCTCAAAGTCCGTCATGAATATGTCAGCGACAATGGAAGATACAGGTGAGCCCATCGCCACACTATCTTCTTGCTTGTAGAACTTCTCCTTTCTCAATAAGTAGTCAGATCTAAGGCAGTGTTTGAGTAATACTGCATATTCTACGGGCATGTTGTTTTTTCCAGCCTTCTAGTGACAATTGAAATGAAGTCTTTATGCTTGTTTTCGCATGAGTCGGCTCAACAGGCGAAGGACTTCGCTCTCATAGAATACCAACGTGAAATAGCTGCTTAACGCTGCTGTGTTTATATGTTGAGTGTAAAGAACCGGGGACGGTTATACGGTTATACGGAATATACATTGTACTTGCGAGGCATTTTGTTTAAAAGTGTGTCTATCAAGGTTAGTCTAGACTATACAGTAAGTACAGAAATATATTTAAATCTTACTTAAATAATAAATAGCACTATAATGATTTCTTAAATTTATGCGCATTGTATAATACAATATATAGGTATTTTATCGCGTTTAATTTTCTTGTTTTAACTTATTTGAAGTTTTCCGACTTTTCGGGTGCTTTTTGTTACAATATGTAAGCTCGTTCTGGGTAGATCGAAACAAAAATTAATATTCAAAAACTGAAGGTAGCCGGTCTAACTACGACATTGGGACGTCAAACATCTCAGCCCCCACCCCCGTGACCATGGGTGCTGTAAAGTACCTGGTTCGTCGGGAATATAATAAGTTATAATAAGAATATAATAATAAGTTCAAATAATATGTTTTATTATTTGAACTTATTTAATAATAAGTTCAAATAAGAAAATTAAACACGGTAAAATCCGTATATATAGCTTTATTCAATAATAAATACTGTACATAAATAAGTTCATAATAGGTTCATAAAATTTCTCAGTTGGTCTACAGGGCAGAGTCGGGCTCAGTATATTGGGAGACGCCACATTACTTTGTTAAAACTTTTGTTAAACCAAAACTATGTTTGAGAAGAATGAGCTATAAGACTGTATAATATAACCTACTATTTGTTCTTTTAATATATTCGTCGCGGGAGTGTCGTATAAGGCGTCTATTGGATATGCTGCGGGCAATAGACACGCTGTAGCTATCTACATAGCTGTAGCAGGTATCCGGAAACTTCGATAGCGTGAATTACAAGTAGGGTAAGTATTTTAGAGTATTCCGAGTTTTGTTGTTTGATTCGTTACTGTGTGTTATTGTAGTTCCGTCACAGTGTTGCCATATGACCAAAGTATTCCGAAATCGATGGCCCCTAGGCGCAGTAGCTTACCATAAAGTTGCGGGTCCCGGATTCGAATCCTGCACGGAACAAGTACTTTTATGGTCTAATGATAATTTCCCTATGTTAACTACCTCCGATACCGGAGAAAATACTATAAATAAATAGTAACATTTATTAAAAAAAAGGGAAAACATTTACTTTACTATAGCATGAATATATTTCCATTCGCTAGTATTAATAATAATAATAATAATAATTTGCAATTAATTAATTGCACAGGCACAACCTAGTAGCCAGAATTCTACACCAGGAGCTCGCTCTGAAATACGGTTTCGTGGATCGGAAATTGCCGTATTACAAGTACTTGCCGGAAGCCGTGCTCGAAAATGATCGCGCCAGGCTCTATTGGGACCGGACCATCATCACAGACAGGACTATTCTTGCGAATAAGCCTGATATTGTGCTGATGGACCGGGCACAGTCAAGGATATTTTTGGTCGACATTACCATTCCGTGTGACGAGAACCTTGTGAAAGCCGAAACAGATAAGCAAACAAAATATCTGGACCTGGCTCACGAGGTGACCGACATGTGGGGTGGTCTGCCGACCGAAATTATTCCTGTAGTCGTCTCTGCAAACGGGCTAATCCCAGTCAGCCTCTCGGGTCATCTGAGGCGGCTGGGACTACGTGGCCGACCGCTCCAGGCTCAAATGCAGAAGGCGGTGCTCCTCGATACCGCCCGCATCCTCCGCCGGTTTCTTTCCCTTTCCCCCTAACCCTCGGCCGTTTGGTCTCCCCTGCCGAGGGCCTAAATCTGGTAGGGCTTTTATTTATATATGTATTTTTATATTTATTTTATGTTATTGTTGTTTATGTATATTTATCTTTTCATTTCCATTTATAATTATATATTTATAGAACCCATCCAGATGAGAAAACTATATTGATATCCCCACATAATAATAATAATAATACGTGTTTTATGCACGCTTGACCAAAGTGCTTAACAGCTTTTTGTCCGGTGTGAATAAGACACATGCATATAACGGTTGGGTCATGCCTGTCCTCATGATTGATTCGTTCTCGCGCTGCTGTGTGTGTCGGTTCGGTGGTAACACTATTCTATACGTTTGGTAACTACCCTCATAAATAAAATTTCAATACGAAAAGAAAATGACTAAATGTGACATCTGTAACAAAGGGATAACCACAAAGGTATCCGGACTGGAATGCAGATCCTGTGGCAAGGTGGTTCATGCTAGTAAAGCTTGCTCTGGTCTCAACGCGAAGCAACTATCTGCGCTTCGTAATGCGGACAGACTAGACTGGACATGCGAAGAGTGCCATCAGAATACACCTAACAGAAAGTCATCCTTCATTATTCCAGAAGAAGACGATGAAGACAATGATGTCGCGGTCTCTGACAATAACTCCGGCAATTGTATGATAGACACAGAGAAGTTTCTAAAAGATATAACAGCAGAAATGAAAAAAGTTTTAAAGAAAGAACTTCAACCAATTGAAGCATCAGTGAGCTTCTGTTGCACAAAAATTGATGATCTTTCCAAAATTGTGAAAGCTCAAAACAAACATATCCAGGAATTAGAAAAGAAGTACAACTACCTTCATAACGAAAAAACCCATCTTGAGCTTGAAATGAGCTCACTGAAACAATATCTACGTAATATTGAACAACAGCGTTTAGACAATGTGATAGAAGTGATAGGTATTCCTAAAGCTAAAGACGAAAACCTTGTAAATATATCTCTCAAACTAGCTGAGACACTCAACATGGACAGGACGGAAGTAGTGAATATTACACGTGTAGAAAGCGAAATAACCAAGATGGAAACATCCAGGTGCAGTTCAAGCATGCAGAAAATGTAAGCTTATGGGTGCGAGCCTCGAAAAAGGAAGCAGTAGTGGTAGAACAAATCATATCCGAGGCCCCTGTGGAAGTTGCTAAGACGAAAGTGATCATACGACGCGCCCTGACCAAAGCCAATAAGTCGTTATTATGGCTAGCACAACAAAAACTAAGACCGGCCTACAAATACGTCTGGTTCCAAGATGGAAAGGTGCTACTACGTAAAGACGACAAATCCAAGTCTAAGGTCGCGCGAAGCGAAGCTGACATTGAGAAGCTCTCAGCACTAACGGAAATAATCGGCCAAAGTTCCAAGCGGTAATAGATTTCAAAATTAGTAACCCAAGTCCTATTTTCTGATCATGAAGAAATATTAAATTGTGCAGATATTAACAACTTTCGCTTGCATATACCCCCTATTTATAAAATCTATCTTAATATTGTCCACACTAACATAAGATCTTTGATAAAAAATTTTTGCTATGTAACACAATTAATTAACTCTTCTAAAATGATTATTGATATTTTAATCTTAAGCGAAGTAAACATAAATAACAATATAGTTTCTATGTTTAATATTTATGGCTATAGAATGCACAGTATGTTGCGCAAAAATAGAAAAGGCGGTGGTATAATTCTATATGTTAGAGATGTTCACTCATTCGCGCCAGTAAGTCACTCGTTAATACACTGTGAGATTATTATCGGTAAGATCACTACGCCTTACAAATACTCCGCTTACATCTGTGCTGTTTATAGACCACCAAGTGAGAGTAAGCAACTATTTGTAAAGGAAATAAGTAGCCTGTTATCAAAATCTATGTTTCAACTATGTGACACTTATCTCTTAGGCGACGTTAACATAGACTTAAAAACATGCGACAACATCCGAGACTACTACATTAGTAGTATGTCCGAGAGCGGTCTAACAAGCGCGATATCCGATTACACAAGAAACAACTCCCAGTTGCATAGATCACATTTTTACTCGTACGCGCTCGTTAGATCTGTACTCGGCCGCGCTCGGAACTGTATTGGCTGACCATCGCATGATTATACTTTCGTGCGTAGGATTCGACCAAACACAAATACAGAGTGATAGAAAAATAATCCAACAGATTGATAATCATAAAGTTAAAAGTTTACTTAATAATCTAGATTGGAGCGAAGTCAGAGATACAGAGTGTCCAAATAAAATTTACAATTGCATCAAAAATAAATTCAATGATTGTTACAATGATTCAAAATATATCAAAAAAAGTAATAAAATAAGTAATAGAAATAAAGATCCCTGGATAAATAGTAAAATTAATAGCATGTGTAAAAAGAAAGACGAATTATACATTAAATGGAAAAATGATCCTACGGACAAATTACTAAGATTAGAGTTTAATAAATTAAGGAATAAGACACGTAAAATAATAGAAAAGTGTAAAAATAAATATTATATGGAACAAATAAATAGTAATAAAATGAATATTAGAAATCTATGGCAAATTTTGAATACACTATCTGGTCGAAACAAAAATTCAGTGGATGAGGCAATATTAAAAACATTTAATAAAAATAATATTGACGCAAAATCAATACCTAATAACTTTGCAAAAGAATTTAGAAATTGTGTTAAAAAATCCTTCCAAAATGTAACCAACGGCTTCTAAATGAATCAGAATATATGTTCCCCGAAAATAAATCTATGTATTTTAAAAGAGCCTCAAATGAAAGTGTGACGAAGATTGTAAAAAACCTTAAAATCAATAAATCTCCTGGTGTGGATAATATCCGATGTATTGAAATACAATCTATCTGTGATAAGATGATAGGAATTATTGTTAAATTAATAAATAATAGCATGCGCCAAGCAAAGTATCCAGATGAATTAAAAATAGGTATAGTTAGACCGATATATAAAAAAAGGTAGTCACAATGATTATGCCAACTATAGACTAATTACTATCCTACCAGTCATTGACAAGATAATAGAAAAATATGTTTGTAATCAGATACAAGACTTTTACAATAAAAATGACATCCTATCACATTCACAATACGGCTTTCAACCTAACAAATCTACCTCTAAATTAAAAGGCAAATAAAACCAAAGTGATTCACGTTCACTCAAGCCATCTAAAACACAACACGTATTTCAAGATCGTTGCTCACAGTCACAGATGTCTGCACAAATCAACTTCATCTTGCGCTTCAACTAACGCTTGTAAATGTGAGGCAATAGAACAAGTAACGCATCACACTTACTTAGGACTAATTATAGACAATAGATTTAGCTGGAGATTTCACATAGATTCTATCTGTGAGAAGTTACGAGCTATACTGGCTAAATTCTATATCTTAAAGCCTAAAGTACCGTATAAAGTCCTGCTGAATATATATAAAGCCTTAGCTGAGTCAATTATACCATACGGAATCTCAAGTTATGGACGAACCTTTAATTAATATACTGAAAAAATATATAAACTACAGCTAAGATTACTTAAACTTATCGTACCCCGAAAAATAATACAACAATATAAAGAAAACGTATTAGACACTTTTAATTACTGTAATATTTTACCTATGCATATGAAACTTCACATGACCCTATTAATAGAACAATTCAACAATAAAAGCATCCAAATACCCGTATCTCGTACAGTAATTACAAGAAATAGTACTAAACAAAAATTAATTGTGCCTAGGATCTCAAATTACTATGGTAGGCGAACTATTGAATTTTTAATCCCAACTTTTATAAACAACATCCCGCAAAACATTCAAAAAGATTTAAATACAAAAGACTATAAACATAAACTCAAAAAATATTATTACAATAATATAAAGAACATCGTCTTATAACATCATTTAGAATCATAGTTATAATTTAGTTTGTATAATAGTGAAACAGCCTGTATAAAGTTAAGAAGATTGCGCTGCCTAATAGAACCGGTTCGTTGAATAGTCCCAGGTGAGAACAGTTCAGGTGAGAATTGAAAATGGGTGCTTACCACTTACAAAATAAAGAAGGCGTATTTATTTATATGTATATACATTTTTTTTAACTTTTAGTAAATTAATTAAATATTTATGTAAAGCAGTGCGTTAGTTACGAATGTGAGTACCAATACAAACCACTATTGGTTTAATGGTACAAATCAAGCAAATACGTAAGAATACTTTTGATAAATAAAAAAAAATGTATACCTTTGGCATACTCAGGTGGACTCAGACTGAACTTAACGCCCTGGATAGAAAAGTCCGCACTACCATGACGTCCCGTAGGATGCATCATCCGAGATCGTCGGTAATGAGGCTGTACTTGCCGCAAAAGCATGGTGGGCGTGGCTTTCTGAGCGCGCTCACTATGCATAATCGCGAGGTGTGCAGCCTCCGTCATTACTTCCTGGCGAGATCGGATGATCCATTCTATAGTAACGTCATTTCTAGTGATAAAGGGCTTACCCCTCTATCCTTGGCCAACGAGCAATGGCAGGACCCAGCAGTGCTTAGCATTTCCGACCGGGAGACCGTATGGAAGGAGAAGAAGCTCCACGGGAGGTACTACAGGGCTCTACATGAGCCCTTCCGTAGATACAGCCGCCTCTCTCAACTGGCTACGTTTCGGTGACCTCTTCGGGGAAACCGAGGGTTTTGTCTGTGCAATACAGGATCAGGTTATTAAGACCAACAACTATCGGAGATACATCCTAAAGGATGGCACCGTCGACGTCTGTCGAGCTTGTCCCATCCCGGGGAGTCACTTAGGCATGTCATCTCCGGTTGTTCGGCTTGCGGTATTTCTTTGTTGGCTTCTCCTCAGCTCGGAAACAAAAAAATGTTGCCCGGCCTGTGGTGTGTCGACCGTTATTCTGTAGTCGTCTCTGCGAATGGGCTAATCCCAGTCAGCCTCTCGGGACATCTGAGGCGACTGGGACTCCGTGACGGACCGCTCCGGGCTCAAATGCAGAAGGCGGTGCTCCTCGATACCGCCCGCATCGTCCGCCGGTTTCTTTCCCGTTCCCCCTAACCCTCGGCCGTCTGGTCTCCCCTACCGAGGGCTCCCATCTGGTTGGATCTTATTTATTTATGTAGTTTTTGTATTTATTTTATTTTATTGATATTTATGTACATTTATCTTTTCATTTTAATTTATAATTATATATTTATAGAACCCAACCAGGTGAGAAAATTATATAGATACCACAATAATAATGCTAGTACTAAAATGTGTTATCTTAAGTCCTACACCGCACGGGACATAATAAGTTCATTATGTTTGCTGAGAAATGAAACGGACATTATACCTCGTACCTGCGTCGGTGTCGCGCCTTGGGAGCTGTAGACTGAGAGAATGTTTTTCAGCGGCTGAAGTAACATTAAAGGTTATGTGGTGTTATTGTAATGAATTAAGTATTCCAAAAGTTTAATACATTATACATTTTTACCCGATTGCCCAAAAAGAAGGGTAATGTTTTTCTAGTGTATGAATGTAGGTATGTCTTAGCAGACCTTAAGCAGCAGGATCTTAACATATTATGAGGTGTCATTGGATACGCCTCAGTTGTGGAAGTGACATAGGATATATACATTTTCTCTTTTGAATAAACTCTTTCACGCAGTCGAGTTTTTTAAATTCCTGTTTTCACCATTGGGATTATTCTTTTATAATTTTTTTATTAAACTCAAATTACGGACTACTTTGCAGTCCATCTCATGGTAAGTGGCTGTAGCCCATGCAATCAACTTTAAGAAAAGAAGGCTACAGTTTTATAGTCATCCCTAAGAATTAAGACTGAAAGTCTTTATACGCAGTGACTCTATACACCTTTCAGACTGGAATCCAGTAGCACGAACTGCTGGAAATAGAGGAGAGGGTGATATCCACCCCAACACCACGTCAGAAAGTTATAAGCATATAGATGTTCATATTCATATTATTTATTGCATCCATAATGTTACGGTTGAGGTGTTGACAACATTTAAAAATTTAATTTAAAACAATAACTTAAAACTATGAGATCATTAT